ATATTATGGCGAAGGTGTCGGTAACCAATAAAATAAAAATCAATACAGAATCTTTCAAAGCGATTCCATTTTTGAATTACTTAAGAAATATTCTGTCTCTTAAATGGAGTGGAAAGATTTTCCAACAGTTGGAGTTTTAACATTTATTACTTATAGTACTGATTGCAACATTGTCATATTTTTTACATTTTATTCTCAATAACTATGAATCCAAAATACTGAATTTGGGAAAAGAGGTATAAGGTCTTATTTTAGACCATATTTTGATGATGCCTGCTTGGTTGAAGAACCGCAGATCAGCAAGAGTGATACAGTTCTGGTGTATACGGGAAATATTATTGTTGAACTTGAAATGAAAACATTCTAAATTATTGTTTGGGATGCAGATTATCATATATTTAGGAAAATTAATCCATTGGACTACACTTTCAGTTATATACTTTATTTGGGTGAACCTTTCAAGACATTTTAAGTAATAATTCATGTCATCAGTTATATGGATTTCACTCCTTTCTATATACATAATTTGGTTTTGCACATGTCATATGTTTTGCACATATACTGAATATTTAAATGAACCAGATTTAACCAAAAAACTAAGGTATCAAAAACAATCTGAATTTATGTATTTTAGGATTTCAATACAACTCTTTTTTTTTGTGATCAACATGCAAGGCCTTGTTGATATTCAACTTGACTTTCAAGCTTTTTTTTCGTAATTCGTTGAATATAGAATAATTGAATATAGATGACCGTCTGATAGCTTCTCTAAATTATTATTTGCATCATTTTCATGTGATGCAGTAAATGTGTTATTCAATTTTTGATTTACGGAATAATGACCAATATATATGCTATTGTTTTTCATCAACAGAACTGAACCTAAACAAAATCATGTAGACACTCCAAACTCGAAATTCCACGGCCTCCCTGTTGTTGGGGGAAGTACAACCGTGGAACGGACGATTTGGGATGCAAACCCCATTTAGATAAACATCATTTTTCGAATCTACGTCGAGTTGATATAGCTCTTCCTGAGTCCACTTCACTACTCCAAACGAGTAGAGTAAGATTGGATTATTATTACTACTATCATCACTAATACCAAATCATTATATGATTTCTCAGGGCCGGATTCGGAAGTCTTAAGGCCCTGGGGCAACAAAGGAATGGGGGCCACTAATTTTTTTTTGTAGAAAAGAATACTTGTGATGCAGTGTTTGGAACTTCTGGTGTAGTAATGAATATCACTGTAGTAACATCCCAACACCACACCGGGTTTTTTAATACCTCGACACGTGTTTCGAACACCAAGTGATCATCTTCAAGATGTGTCGAGATGTTGAAAATGACGGTTTGGAGTTGGGAGAACATTCCAGTAATATTTATAGAAAAGAGTAGTTGTTCAAAACATATACATAAGAGAAAGGGAACACGATGGGCCTTTTAGATTTTTTTATAAAAGTTGAATTCCCAACTTCCCGTTAAAAAAAATCAATAAAAGATTGCTACTGAATGGGCTTTCTGATAAGTATATTGATAACAATATTATTATGTTTGTGTCAGTATTCTTAGTGGAACTGCAGAATGGTGTTTGGAAGGAAAGTAAAAGTTGTTGACCTGTCAAAATTTGGATATGTTTTTTATCTTTATTGTGGGGGCCCCAATCTTGTTCAGGCCCGGGGCAGTAGCACCGCCTGCCCGCCCCTAAATCCGGCCCCGTGATTTGTCTTGCTAGTTGATCTGCTATCATTTAGTGACGCAGTGAATAAAGAACCATCTAACTAACTATTTTTGGCTAATTTCGAACAGAGCTAACTTCTTTTCTTAAAGAAAAACAACTGAATACATCACGTTATTCGTTGACGTCACTTACATTGTATTCAGTTTTTCCTTTTTCCCCTAAAACTTTGGAAAACCAATTCAAGCATAGTGACGCCAGGTTTCTTGCAGCCCAACAATAAATACATTAGCAGAATCTCTAAGTGAAAGACACTTTCATTCACTCTCATCATCATCACTTCCTAATTTTAAAAAATGAACTATGGAAGCTTTTTTCAAATCGATGCTCTATTTTTTCATGAATTTCTCTACTCAGTGATTCTACTCATGTACTTACTGAAGTTGTACTAAACCTGTAAACATCAAAAACACCACCAAGTTTTTCTCAGGTGCAAGATTCAGCTCCTATCCCTCCAACCAACCCAAAACGACTGACACTGCCCCAATTGTGACAACTAGATGAGGTGAAAAAGGAGAAAGAATCAGACACTGGATCCCCACCTCGGCAATTTTTTATCCCTACTCCAAAGGTGAGCCTCAAACGTTCGTTTGTACGGTGCTGCTATCGGCGAACGATTATCGCGGAATTATTTCGAACCTCGGAAAAAGCTCTGACAGAATTTTAACGTTTTGAGTCAGCTTCGCACGTTATTCATGGCTAAATTTCGTTTGCGTGCTAGTCAGGCAAAATAGGTGAAGGAGGTAGAACTATTAGTGAGCTGATATTTTCAGAGACTTGAAACTGTGCTCAATGAATGTAATAATAGTAATAATGGTGGATGATAATCTTTGATGCCGAACCATATTATACAGATACAGATTTATGCTGTTCATTTCCTTTGAAACGATAAAATGATGAAAAAATTGAAGGTTAGACCACTAAACTATAGTTTCATGACGATAAAACTAACAGTCATCAAATTACTATCGTATCTTTTAGCTTCAAAATTCATTGTTACAGGGTCCTGAATACGATATCAATTGAATACGAAACGTTGCGCTGGCAGGAAAATAATTGTTTTCCTTAGTGATGAAATTTGTGGAATGTTCTTTAAAATTCATTGTTACAGGGTCTTGAATACGATATCAATTGAATACGAAACGTTGCGCTGGCAGGAAAATAATTGTTTTCCTTAGTGATGAAATTTGTGGAATGTTCTTCAAAAGTCATTGTTACAGAGTCCTGAATACGATATCAATTAAATAGGAAACGTTGCGTTGGCAAGAAAACAATCGTTTTTCTTAGATACTTTGATCTGTTACCCAACAAAACTTACTGGGAATAATTTAAATGGATCACTAGATTATTCAATAGACTATGAAATCAATCGTCAACATGCAGTTGTTTAATGAAATCATCCTGAGACTATTGAAGTTTTTGATCCAAAATTTAGATCGTTGAGTGTGACAACAGGACCAAATTGTTCATTGAGTTTAGCTTGACAACAAAAAAAGATGCATCAGGAATAATTTGACTATGGTCAATGATTTGCAATATTCAAATCACTGTGAACTTATTTTGCTTACAATACTGTATACTGGTGAAATTTGGAATAAAACAATAATGAATGCAAATTTTGTCGAAAACTGATCCATGTTCAAGAATTTTGGCAAGGTTAAATACGACGAAAACAATGTAGCTACTCAATATTTCATTCATTATTAACTAGGTGTCTGGAAATGACGATTTCGATTGTAATTTGTTTTTCGAGCTGTTAATGATAATACCCAAAAGTCAATATTTTCAAGGGCATTTGAGTAATCCAACTGAATTTTTACTGTTCCAGCGAGTTACTGTTCCAGTTGTGAAGCCACACTCTCTTTATGATTTGATATTTTCATGATTGTGTTTTGAATTTTTTGTTTAGCTACAATTGCGAAATAAAGTCAAGATCTCCTGAAGAGGCAAGAATTTAATATGAAAAACTTGAGGTGTAACCTTCCAAGGCTTCAAGTTTTGGTTTGCAGTCATGACCATGAGGTTTCTCATACAACTTTGTGCTCATAACCATTGAAGGAGAAACGAGAAGAGAAGGAGCTCAAAAAGTTATTTGAATTCGGAAAAAATCCCCAAACTATGTATGTATACAGTTGATTGAAAGGTTTTCATATCAACAAAATGATATTACTACATTTAAACACAAAAAAGATTATTGAAATGAATACAGAAAAGTTTCACAAACATTTCTATTTAGGAGTGTCAATAATAAATACAGTGCTTTCCATTCAAAACGAGCCACGCTGAATAACTTTTGGTACAATGATTCGCAGGAGAAATTAAAAAAAAAACGTCAGCCATAGTCTACAGGAAACCACATTTTGATATATTTATATTTGATCCCTATCGCACCCTCAGAGCATATCACCATTTTTTTATGGATCACCCTACATTGTTTCGCAAATCTTCTCAGGATCCTTCATAAGTACTAATTGCATCCATATAAGATTAGACTAGTTCATGAATTTAACGAAGAGGATTTCGATAGACGTATTGAGTTTTGTGAAAGTTTCATTGGACGGAACAACTTCCATCACAATTTCTTGTATAAAATTTGTTTTTCGGATGAATGTACATTTAGACTGAATGGAGAGGAGAATCGACTGATTTGTCGATATAAACATGACAGGAACGGATGCCAATTTTATTGCTTATCAGCATGAATTTGCAAATGCCGTATATCCGTATAGTAGTTCCATTTTCGAGAATCCCCCTGTATAAATGATTTTCCTCAAGCAAGGGCAGTTGCACAGATCCACACTCGTGACGCGCCCTGTAGAAGAGAGCACAGTTCAATTAATCGCAGTTATCAATGGCCAGAGTTTTCTAACTGTCGCGACAGCATCAATAGCGTAAAGCAGAGTAGCGCTGTAAAGTAGAGCGGTGAGCTAAAGCGGGGACATTTAGACAAGAGAGCACCGGTTAACAAGCGACGAGCGGACAGAAGAAAGAAAAAGAGCGATAGAAGCGGTGAATAGCGCTACGGTGGCCCGTCCGTGTCTGTAGGTGCGAACACAGTTCGGCGGTTAGCTGTCTACACGCGGCCGATCCATCACGATTGGGCGAACCCGGTGGGCGGGGCGAGTCGCTCTGCCGCGGGCCTGCCCTCGCAGGGGAAAAATGCGCCGCGGGAGGGGACGGAAAAAGAAGTAGGGCGCATTTTTAGTGGTGGTGGATCGATCGGTCCGCCGAGGGGAGGCCGCAAAAATGTATCTCAGAAAGAGCGACACGGTCCCAGGAGAAAAGTTCCCCGCCACTACGCGCGATACGACGATTTTTTACGGATCGCCGCGACTACTGCGCTTGTGTTGTGTGATCGCGACAATTTGTCGCCGTTAAAAGAATTCCGTGACATCAGTAGTCGCGTTCTGTCGGTGGCAAAAACAGGACTCGTTCGGGACTAAGCTCTGACCGCAGGGCCCCCTCCCACCACCCCACTCCGCTCCACCCACTGGGCAGACTCGCAAAAATCAGGCCGCCAGAAAGAAGCGCACGAGGAAGGCGACCGCAATTATCACCTGGTGCTCGACGTTTCGAACCGCTTCCGAATTTCTCGCGCTGCTGGCCACGTGGCCCTTCTCTGTGACAAGTGTGACTTGACGTGCGGGTGTGCAGGAAGCCATGCTTCCTTTGGCGACGACTCAGTGAGTGCAGCAGGGACTGGTACAAGCCATGTCCCAGTTTGGCTTCCGAACATCTCCGAATACTCAGGTACTGTACCGTTTGTACTCTTTTCCAGTACTGCGTACTGTTTCTCCGGCGATCCTGCGCGGTCTTCTGGAACGGTCAGGATCATTTCCGGCGTTACTGCCCTCTTCTAGAATTCGAGAAACTTCTTGTTTAATGACCATCATACAGCAACTTTGTTAAACTCCTTCAACGGTATATTTGGGGATTTAGGATTTATAACGAAAATTATTCTACATTGAATTGATACATTCAACAAGATTTGATACAATTTTGCTAACTTTACTTTGAGTGAACGATTGTCGATCAATGCGGACAATATTGAAAAAGTTATCTATTTTGATTTAGATCCGCCCCAGCTATAAAGAAAATTCCACTTTTGACGCTTTTCAAGGCATTTTGAAAATGACAACAGTAATCTAGTACACAGGGAAGTAATTCAGTTCAAAACCAAGTACCTCATCGTCAATTTTAGTAGTCCAAATATAAAGACCATTTTTTTAAATATTAGATCATTGCCATCTTTCATATTTTATCGGGGTGACAAGTTTGATAATTGTAAACTAAAATAATTGAACATGTTTTGCATTCAATTGAAATTATGATATTCGAAACAGATGTAACTCGTTGGGGACGTCAAATATCTTCGTACTTCCCTTTCCATTCTTCCCATATAATAATAATAATGATAATAACAATAATACGTCATCATTCATTTTAACAAACTGAAATTAATAGGCATTGATGTAGAGGTGGAAAAGCGGGGTATTAGTCGAGGCTGTTTTTCAACTCAATCATCACTGACATGTGATGAAAACACAATTATGATATAATTACCTCACTAATAAGTAGGTCTCGTCCTACAGGAAATTTCTTTTTTTGAAATTCAATGAAAAAATATTGATTCATGATAAACGTTATATGAATACTAAAAAGTTACTCATAAAATCTTTGGAGTTGTCGGTATTGAAAATATTAATTTCATACATCTTCTTTGAAAATATTCATCAGAATGAAATGTGTTACATTTTGGGAAGTTTGTTTTTCTTTACTGGTCTGGATGAAACATTATTTGTAACGTTGTTTGATACATTTTCTGTAAAACATCAGGACAATATTGCTTATTACCTATACAGTCGTCTGTATTTTATGAATATTGATCGTTGTGTCCTACTTTCGAATAAATTTTTTCATCCCACGAAAAATTTTGTGTTTATTACGTATTTTTTGTCATTGATTTGTCTTCATTTTTAGCATCTTTTGAAATAGAACCTAGATATTTGAATTTGTTTTCATTTTGTGCTGCTGTCATTCCATTATTACAATTTTTGTGTTCTTGCCGATCATAAATTGTGATTAAACTGGAGAAATATCAACAGTGACTGCAGGAATGAAAATGCGCGAAAGTAGTTTTTGAAAAAGAATTTGGCTTTCTACTACTCCATCTGATACAAAAAAAAATGGATGAGAGAATCTTCTTTGCATGATCTACACATCCATGTATAGAGTTACTTATTTTCAAATTGATTAATCCTTCCTTTCTTTGGAAGATTCTCTCATCCATTTTTTTTGTATCAGATGGAGTAGTAGAAAGCCAAAAACTTTCTTTCCCAAAAAATTAATCACTCCTAAAAATATAACCCTTTCAAATCAAATAGTTTTTGAAATTATTCATATCCTCTCAAGATTTTTTCTGCTCCATGGGAGAATATGATGCTCCACTTCATTTTTGAATGTTTCTGTAATATTTCTCTTCGCCCTTGCGATTTATTGTTGATTTTTTTCAGTAGATATACCCAATATCCCAAATATCCACAATAAAAGCTTGATGTTACAAAAATCCTCGAAAAAATCACATCATATGGATTACCTGTTGATAAAATAATGTACCAAAGTAGAGATTTCCGTGTTGTGTTTGTAGATAGATTTGTTTAAATCAAACCCATTATAGATATAGTCACAAATAATATTTTCGGGGTTTGCATAGATTGAATGAGTCAAGATCTGTATAGCTTTTGTTAATGATCGATTAACTCTAACAATAGTTCAGTTGATCCATGCGACAGATGTTCATTATTATCACGACATAATGAAACAAGCTCATGTCTCAATACGTGGTTTTCTTTTTCTGAATCTATGATAAAGTGGGTTTCTATCAACTCTATAAATTTCCTGGTAGTTGTTTATGTCAAGTTCGATTAGTACCTGTTTATCGATATCAACTGATATATTTATAACTGGACCTGATAGTTTGAATAAACAGTTAATTATTATTCTGTCAACTAAGATATCTACATAACGGATTCATACCATTTATTCAAGTACTCGATATTGCATAATATTAATGTATGGTGGTATCGACTCCAATTAAGACTTATTCGAAATCCAGTTCTTCGGAAATTCCATTCCTTCCATCTCCGAAAAAAAGCGAACGTACAATATCTGGTAATATGCAAATGTGTGCAAACTAGGACTCACTTTTGCTCATTTTAGATTCAATATTCGTCTTATATACGTCACATTTCGAAGAAGGTGGTAAGGTGTTTAGGAAGATACATCTGATTACATTTGGGATATTCGATGAAAGCACATGTAGAATATAACTACAACATAACACAAATTCACTTGTTAATGAATATAGCCTCAGAAAGGTTTAAATGACTCTTAAATTTTTCTGATGTCACCTTTGATATATGATTTTCCTCTCCTAAGTTATAAGTATAATTTTCCAAATATCATTTCATCATTATTTATGAAGCAATTTGTTTTGAAACATTTTATAGTATCAGTGCAATTTAATAACAGGAAATGTATGAAACATGATACTTAACAAAGCCTTCAATTAATTTGTAGGCGGTTGGTTGGAATTTGTATTCAACTGACTCATCAGTTACTCCATTCATTCAGAGCTGATGAATGTAAGTATTACCACCCACGTCCCGTTTCAACTAGCGTCAGCTGTTTCACCTTCATTGATAGATTTGTTGAATATTCCAGGAAAAATATTATTTTCAAGTTCAGCTTTTGTATGTTGTGCCTATTTCATTAGGATCTGGTCAATGTGGAGCTAATTTTAGCAAAAGCTTCGATACAAGTTGGTGTAAGGCCTTCAATATCTGTTACTCAGGACGAAGTCATTTTTTGGTTTTGCTATTTTGAATATGATCAGGTAAAAACTTTTGAATCTTATGGAAACCAATGCTACAAGGTTTTTGCAGTATTTCATGAGCATGCTAATGGAACAGGAAAATTATTTTCAAGTCATTGCATTTGAATTGAGCTGAGATATTGGAGCCAATGGCTTCAAAACTGCTGAAGTTGTTTTAGTTTCAAGCCACACATCTATTTGGTCATTGCAAGAGTATTTAACGATTTGTTCAACTGGTATTTTTTTGCTTGAACTATTTTTCATGAACTTGTATATCTTTTTCCTTCTATCTAGTACAACATCATTACAGTTATTTCAGATAGATAATTTTTTCTCGTTCAAATATGAATATTACCTGAACACATTTTGAAATTTTGAGATTTGCATTACTTAAAGAGAACGGAAAAAGCAACTTCTAAGGAGGTTTTGTATTCCTGAAAATCAATTTATTGTGACTCTCCAACACCGCAGCAAATCATAGAGAGTGAAATTTATTATTTTGATAGTTTCATTAGTTATGAGGTTGTTTATCAAATCAGTTGGAATAAAGGACATGGCAGACTTTTATATTTTCATGAATCTAGATCAAAAGATTAAAGGGAGCCTTTTGAATATTTGAATCTCAAAATAACCTCAAATTGTAGTCCTATGTTTTCAAAAGACGAAACTTTGCCTCTTTCTGTTACGAGCTCAAGTACTAAAAAAAATGATATTTACATTTTTTTGTACATATTTCATATATATGAATCATTTCGAATGTTCTTGTCATTTGTAGACAACTTTGACAAATTATTAAATAAATAATTAATTCATTATAAAAATGTATTTACAAAAATGGTATAGGTATATAAAAAGTAAAAATAAAGAAGGAAAAGAAAACGAAGAAGCCATCTTTCATATTTTATCGGGGTGACAAGTTTGATAATTGTAAACTAAAATAATTGAACATGTTTTGCATTCAATTGAAATTATGATATTCGAAACAGATGTAACTCGTTGGGGACGTCAAATATCTTCGTACTTCCCTTTCCATTCTTCCCATATAATAAAGGAGATACTTTTAAAAGTAAGAATTGAAAGAAAGTTACTGAAAATAGAATTTTGTCAACTTTAATCCTCATCTTGTTTGATCACCAATTTTGACAATCTGTCAATTGAAAAACGAACTGTTGCTAAAGTTGCAATAAGTTTTGAAAACTGTAAATCATTGATGGATAAAAATATGCAATATTCCAATATCCTTGCCAACTTATAATATGGGTGACAATCTGACTATTCTAGAAGGTGTCGAAAACATTTCGATATAATTCTGAATATTTTTGACACTATTACCATGTTTGAATTATCTTCCATTGTTGTATATGGGTATTATGAATATTCGTTGCTTACGGTTTCGGTTTGTTCCTCATGAAACTAGTATATCTTATCATCGAATGTTTCGCAAACCAGAACTTGGCGAGTTTTGCGTCCTGATTTGAACTTGCACCTGTACAAAATTCAACTGAACCAGGAACTGAAGGTAAACGACCATATACAATGACGTATTTTTGCTATATGGGCTCTGGAGCAGTTGGCAACTGAAAAAGTCGGTTGTATAATTTTTTGTTGAAAAGATTTCATAACGAATAGAGTAGGAGTGATACCAAAAAGAAATGGAGAAACATATTGAGCAAAAGAATGAAATTGTCGACTTCAAAATAGATGAGTGAAATACAAAAACGAATGTAAGGTATCTAAAGAAAAACTCCAGAATAAGTCAAACTCGAAGTGTAACTGGGATAGTATCGACTTATTTGTGAAGCTCATTTTCAAAATGAGTAGACTCTTTGTGGTTTCATTGTTTTTGTCAAGTATAACCACCAAATCTCAAATCATT